ACGGAATCTTGCGCTTGTACGTCCATCATGGAGCGCAAGCCTTCTATCAAGTTGGCACATAAGTAATGCAACTTTTTATAAAACTTTTGTCTATTTATCCATCTTATGTGAGGATTACGGTAGGTTTACGGTACTATGGGAAAATTTTTAGAATGCATCAGATTTTTCTGAAACTTGGCCTATAGGGCTTATTTGACATGCTGATCACAAAAATGAGATCCGTTTCGCCTGAAAAGGCCTCGTTCGTAAGATCAGAAGATAAATTTCATTCTAGCGACAAATGAATATGATATTCGTGTTTACCGCATAGGATTACCCTATAGTGCAAAGTTATAGCGAATTCTGATTTTTCGCAGCTTAGTTATTGACAAATTTCCTTCAAAACTTGACGCATTTGACTTGTTAACTTCTCAAAGGCGCCCCACCTTTTGTGTTTGAATTTCATTTCTTTTTCACTGATTCCAATGTGCCAACTTCCAGCTACATGCTGCCTATAATTGCTTTTTCATATGTTTGAATCAGGTTTCGTAGGGCTTCATGTTTGCTAAAAAATCGTGAAACCTCGATTTTCAGCAGTTTTCAAAAAATACTTAGATTTTTTGTACCACATTATCAAAAATCAAACTTTTTGCGCAGACTTGCAGCTTACATCACGATCTACATGATGCCACAAATTGAGATTGCTACATAAAATAGGAAAAAAGTTGCGGAAAAAGTTGCAAAACTTACGCCAACCTAATAATATTTTTAAAGAACGAGATTATGAATTTAGGTTTAGATATTGAAAAGTCATTGAATTTTGTTTGAATTACGCAAGAACTTTCGAGCCAACCTGATATTAGGTCGCTCCGAAAGTTCTTCCCGTTTTTTCAACCTATCATAAAAACACATGAAATGAAGGTAGGGAAACGCTGCAGGTACCATCCGACGCAGCTTTTCTTCCTCTTTTTGGCTATCATATATCTGTGCAGCTTGCTCTTGTGGTCATTGGAATAATCACCGAAATTTGGAACCCATGGTTTTTACCATGTCCTACTTCGGCAATATTATTTCTTTCACTATCTTCGTTTCAGACTTTTGGAAAAGCTTTGATAGCAGTCAGATAGAGTAAACGAAGTGCAATTTGATGCAATTTTTTGGCATCTACTGGCTTCTCAGTGTTTTCTGAGATCCTTTCAAAAGGAACTTTCAAAAGAAACAAAGAAACTTTTCCAGAAGTCTTCACTTTTTCAAAGTCACGAAACACACAAACGCTCCGAACATTAACAAATCTTCGGATTTCAACACTTCCAAACGTCGTCCATGATTGTCCACTATTTTTACAAAGTAACTGAGTGTTTACCGCTTCGAAATACAAGATTTTGCATTTCACGTGTACACCTTTAAGCGGGTTCAAAATCAAGAACTATAGAAATTTTATCGCAACCCCCCCCCCCACAAATTAGGAAGAAAAATGCTCAGCAGAAAGAGGAGAAAAAGCTGCCTCGAATGACACCTTAGTTGTGTGCCGTTTTATGTTCTATGGGTCTTGGCATCACCAAAAGTGGAATTTGATAGCATCAGAAAAATATTTCTAAAAAAATTTTTAGGTTAGCTACGGATGCCGAAAAATTGCATTAAATTGCACTTTATTTACTCTATCTGAATGCTATCAAAGCTTCTTTAAAAGTTAAAAAAGAAGATTGTGAAAAATTGCCAAAATTGGACATGGTAAAAACCATGGGTTCGAATTATCTCAATGACCACAAGAGCAAGCGGCACAGAAATATGATAGCCAAAAAGAGGAAGAAAAGCTGCGTCGAATGGCGCTTGCAGCGTTTCCATACCTTTATTTCACGTGTTTCTATGATAGGTTGAAAAAACGGAAAGAACTTTCGGAACGACTTAATATATTTTAGGTGGGTCCGAAAGTTCTGTCGTTTCATTTTCAAAAATTTGTAGCTTTGCACCGCTGCAACGGATTTGCTTACTTGTAACTTTATTAGAAAGAAAAAGTCTTTCGCTTTCAAGGCCTGTTTTGTGGAGCTTCCGTTTCACACTAGTTGCGGAGATAAAAATGGAAACTAAGACCATATAAGTTTTGACAATTTTTAGTTAGGTCACCAAAAATCTGGAATGCTGCGGAAAAATCTAAAATCGTTAGTATATATATTTTTTGGCCTACCCTTCGCATCTGTGAAAAGTTTGTTTGGAAGTTTCTGTGAGAAATTATGAATATCGAGTTCACTGTTTAAAACGCCAAAATTAATTAACTTGTCACTTTTTTCGAAAATTATTTTTCGTCCAAACAGCACACACTCTTCAAAGCTGCATAGAGGAGGTCAATAAACATAAGTACTGGCGATTTCAGATTTTCTGCAGCGTTTCAGATTTTGGTTGACCTATAAAATGGTCAAAGCTTATATGGTCTTAGTTTTCCATTTTTACCTTCGCAACTAGTGTGAAACAGAAGCTCCACAAAACGGAGCTTGGAAGCGAAAAACTTTTTTTCTAATAAAATTACAAGTAAGCAAATCCGTTGCAGCATTGCAAAGCTACAAATTTTTGAAAATGAAACGACAGAACTTTCGGACCCACCTAATACAGTGCTGGCCATAATTATAAAGACACTCTTGGTGCAAAAGTTTTGTAAAAGTTTTGTCACTTTTTTCAACTCATTGGCTAGAATGAAGATAAACAAGCACTTCAAGAAGTGTCCGATGCAGAATTTCTTCCTCTTTCCAGCTGCTAAACTCCCGTTGTTTTTCGTTGAGAGAATGACGAGATATATGCCGAAAATTACAACCACTCGTTTTTACCAGTCCAACTTTCACTAATTTTCAAAGTTTTTGTATGAGATTTTCGGAGGAGCTTTAATAACCACCAGATAGGGCAAACCTTTTGCCAACCTATGCATTTTCTCTTTTTTTTTTCAGCTGCTATTTCAGATTTTTGCTAAATAATTTTTTGAAAGTCTTGTGTTGTGGAAAAATCGCATAACCTGTTAATGCACCAAACACTGCAAAACCTACAGAATACTGAGGTAACATTCGATTATTACTACCGCTATCATTACAAAGTAAATGAGCAATTTTCGCCCACTTATGCCATTGTATACTACAAAGCTTCGTAACTTTAACCATAAAACTTTGGCTTCGGATATGCTCTAGTTTTCGAGTAATATCAATTTTACCCGTGCTTAGAAGATACATGCGCTTATCCACAGGTACACATGCTATATTTTTTCCATGCTTAGAAACCAAGAAAAAATTGAAAAATGAAAAATGGCAAACTCCGCCCCCAGTAGTACCGGGCCGCTCCCTCATGTGTTGGTTATTAGGGTTCCTCCAAAAGTCTCATACAAAAATTTTGAAAATTTCTCAATGCTGAAGGAACTGAACGAAGTAGGGGAAAAGATCGAATTGCGAATAAATCGGAAGAAGACTCAGTTTATGAGAAACGCCCTTTGCGAAGAAGCAGAAATGGAATTGGAAGGCACCCCTATCAAGGAGACGTCTTCTTACGTGTATCTCGGACGTTCGATGAACATGGAGAATGACTTGAGGGAAGAACTTAACAGGAGAAAAAGAGCAGCCTGGGCCGCCTTCGGGCCTCTGAAGGAAGCCACCGACCAACTGACGGACCCGGAGCTTCGTGCCCACTTGTTCGATTCAACCGTTCTCTCAACGCTCTGCTACGCAGCTGAGACTTGGGCCGACACCGTAGCCACGTCGAAAGCTCTACGGACCACCCACAGAGCGCTCGAGCGCAGTCTTCTGAAGATGACTCGACATAACGAACATCTAGTCGGACTTCGCAGTACGGATATGAGAAGAATGTCCCGTCTTCGCAGTACGGATATGAGAAGAATGTCCCGTCTTCGTGACCCAGCAGAATACGTTGCGAAAGCGAAACACCGATGGGCCGGTCACATCATGAGAAGAACAGACGACAGATGGACACTAAGAACATCTGAATGGATTCCTCGCGAAGCCAAACGTCCCCGAGGAAGACCACCAACGAGATGGGCAGACGTGTTCGTGGAACGGATGGACTAGCTGAGAAATCAGCTGGATACGATTATCGCACCTGGAACTCGTGGACGCAGCCATCGACGACAACCAATAACATGGATGTCTGAAGCGAGGGACAGGGATTGATGGAAACTTTTGTGCTGAGGCCCGCACGCCATGTGAAGACGGGCCATCTAAGTGTCTAAGTAAATATCAATCCATAATCGAGTCGGATCGAGCCGGTGGATGTTCCTCTCTATTTTTTAACGGATTGCCATTCTTGTTATAGCAAAGTTTGTAGTCGTGTTTCACCATTTTGTTGTCTTCAAACAGCAGTACATGCTGATGTGGTCATTTTTTCAATATTACTACATATTAGCTGGCTTACCGGGTTATCTAAATAAGTAAGTATGCCAAGGCGTTCTAAGTTTTTGTCTTCAAAAAACAGTTATGAAGCAGACCTGCTTCCAAAGATTTGTCGCTCGCAAGACGGCGACGTGGTCATCTTCAAATCATTTTTGAAATTCAATTTTCAAATCTTCTTGAATTTGTTTTTTTAGGAAGCGGCATAAGTTGCAACTATCAAAAGCCCTATCACCACTTGTATTCAGATTACTTAATTATTCTTGCTTTGCATTAGTGATGAAAAAAATTTTCTTGTTCGCTTTTTGACGGCCACTGTGCTAATAAGTACATAGAATAACGGTAGATATGCAGCCCTTGTGGTCATTGAGCGTTAAAACTTGCGCACGAATGTAGCTATGTCTGAAGTTCCGGCAGGACTGTTTCTTCATGCGTCAATAGGGCCAATCTCGGATAGCAAGGTATATATATTGTACCATCTATTCGACTGTATGTGACCAAATCAGCATGAAGGTAACATGGTACAGCTTGTTTGAATTGGCCATTTCGCTAAAGTATATGTATTTTTTTGAGTGTAGCTCTGCATTAATGTTAGGATTGTTGTGGACGATACCGTTAACGATCCAGAGGAAAAATTTGCATTACCTGTTTTATGGCAGATGAATTGTATATGTGTTCGAACGTCAGTGAAGTAATTTTCGCTGACTGAAATCATGTCCATCACAGATTACTAATAATAAAGTTATGAAATGACATTTAATAATACAACATTCGGTCCGAAATGTGCAAAACTTACTCCTTTCCGGATTCGCTTTACTACAAGAAGGCTTTATCGTAACGGCTACTCCCATAAGTACGGCTCTACTGCCTTCCAAATGAAAGAGCGGCCCGCCACTATCTCCCTAAAAAAGAGATTCAGATATATAGCTTTCGGATGGCATTGAGTTGTCTCAATTTAGCTCACTGCGCACAACGAAGCCGTTCTACTGTTCGTTTCGATCTCGCTGCTATTAGGATTTTCGTTCACCACATTAGTAGAGATCACTTGAAGACCTTTGGAGTATTGATCATGTAGAAGTGATGCTGCAATAATTTTTCGCTACATTACCACGTCATAGAGCAGTTATCAAGGAACGAGAATTTTTCATAATGCTATTTAGTAGAATTTCGCGATGCTATAGATATTTGCGATGGTATCCGGAACCGAGAGGTAATCTCCACATGCAATGATAAACTGTCAAATTTCTAGTTCAACCACTTACTACATCTTCTCGAACTGAACAACGGGCTAATCTTTGCTCGATAAAGCTTATCACTCACCTCAAGTTGCTAGCTATTCGAGCGTAGAAGGCTCTTCACGAATTTGGCAAATATTAGGCTGAAAACTAAGTTTTGCAACTGCTTTCATAACTTTACTCTCTTTGGATGTGGTGCATTCAAATTCTGGCAATATATAGAACGCAATGTGTGCTACGACCGCGCACAACTGTTTGTTTGAATACGAATTAGAAAAATTTCAGGCATTTTTCGAAAGTTAGTGAGCTGGAATATCTGGAATAGCGTACGAATTATCATTATAGGTTGTGCTATTCAGATCAGCAGGAAAAAAAATTCACTGACATGTCGAGATCTGGTGCAATCACAAAGTTGAGCGAGTCCGCTATACGCAAAGGTGTTGGGGACAGTCGTCAATGACCAAGGCGTCAGAAGCTCAAAATTCGCCGAGACTACACGTAGTAAGGTTATTTGACCTGCGAAACACGAATATCATATTCAATTATTAAAATAACGCCTCTTCCCTTGTTTAGGGTGAGACCTTGCATTGTAAACCTACAGTAATCTTACAAAAAGCTCTTTTCACGCAACTTCAGAATCGTTTTCGTGATCAGCATGTCGGATAACACCACTCTGTCAGGTTTCAGCCAACTCAGGCAGCGGATAGGACCCCTCCGCCGGAGAAATGGCAGGGTCGCGGCGTTTCCCCAGCGGTGGGTCTCCCATTTGTCCGGCGGAGCCCTCCCATTTCTCCGGCGGAGACCTCCCATTTCTGCTCCGGATACCTCCCATTTTCTGCTCCGGATACCTCCCATTTTCTGCTCCGGATACCTCCCATTTTCTGCTCCGGATACCTCCCATTTCTGCTCCGGACACCTCCCATTTTCTGCTCCGGATACCTCCCATTTTCTGCTCCGGATACCTCCCATTTTCTGCTCCGGAGACCTCCCATTTTCTGCTCCGGATACCTCCCACTTCCTGCTCCGGATACCTCCCATTTTCTGCTCCGGATACCTCCCACTTCCTGCTCCGGATACCTCCCATTTTCTGCTCCGGATACCTCCCATTTTCTGCTCCGGATACCTCCCATTTTCTGCTCCGGATACCTCCCATTTTCTGCTCCGGATACCTCCCATTTTCTGCTCCGGATACCTCCCATTTTCTGCTCCGGATACCTCCCATTTTCTGCTCCGGATACCTCCCATTTTCTGCTCCGGATACCTCCCATTTTCTGCTCCGGACACCTCCCATTTTCTGCTCCGGATACCTCCCATTTTCTGCTCCGGATACCTCCCATTTTCTGCTCCGGAGACCTCCCATTTTCTGCTCCGGAGACCTCCCATTTTCTGCTCCGGATACCTCCCACTTCCTGCTCCGGATACCTCCCATTTTCTGCTCCGGATACCTCCCACTTCCTGCTCCGGATACCTCCCATTTTCTGCTCCGGATACCTCCCACTTCCTGCTCCGGATACCTCCCATTTTCTGCTCCGGATACCTCCCATTTTCTGCTCCGGATACCTCCCATTTTCTGCTCCGGATACCTCCCATTTTCTGCTCCGGATACCTCCCATTTTCTGCTCCGGATACCTCCCATTTTCTGCTCCGGATACCTCCCATTTTCTGCTCCGGATACCTCCCATTTTCTGCTCCGGATACCTCCCATTTTCTGCTCCGGATACCTCCCATTTTCTGCTCCGGATACCTCCCATTTTCTGCTCCGGATACCTCCCATTTCTGCTCCGGACACCTCCCATTTTCTGCTCCGGATACCTCCCATTTTCTGCTCCGGATACCTCCCATTTTCTGCTCCGGAGACCTCCCATTTTCTGCTCCGGATACCTCCCACTTCCTGCTCCGGATACCTCCCATTTTCTGCTCCGGATACCTCCCATTTTCTGCTCCGAATACCTCCCATTTTCTGCTCCGGATACCTCCCATTTTCTGCTCCGGATACCTCCCATTTTCTGCTCCGGATACCTCCCATTTTCTGCTCCGGATACCTCCCATTTTCTGCTCCGGATACCTCCCATTTTCTGCTCCGGACCCCTCCCATTTTCTCCGCGCGGCTCTTCCAAATTTGGCGGACACGAGCCGCGCAAATTTCTGCGGCGCGGCGTCCGCCAAATCTGGCAGAGTCGCGCCGGAAAAATGGCGGACCTTTGCAGCAGGGCCGGAGAAGCCTCCCATTTGCCTGCCAGTGATGTCATCGCGATGGACCGCCCATTTGCCCTTCTCTCATTGGTCAACTGGGTCCGGCGCGACTCTGGCAGTTTCGGAGGGTCCGGCGGAGGGGTCCCGTCGATTGTCTGAGAAATTCAATTTTTGAATTTTCCCCCTTACACATTAACCCTGCCGTAACCTTCACTACGACGTCAGAATCTGGCAGAGAAGTAGCTGCTTTTGTAGCTCATGTCGTAATCAACATAATAACAAGATTTGAGTGCGCCATGTTAAAAAAGAAGAAAGTTATTGAATGAGTTGCAAAACTTAGTTTCCAACCTAATATCAAAGCGTGGGCCCAGTGACTGTTCAAAAACAATACTTCTCGGGGTGCGATTCTTGAAATCAAGTTTTATCGCATCGAGCATAAAGATCTCACTTGTTTACGTGCACAGAACTTTCTATAATATTAAATAAATTCGTTGCCTTTGTACCAAATGCGCTGATTTTGCTGTTCCTTTACAATGCTTCCTGTACCTTCGGAATGATGTTTTCGCGTCGATTATTTTCGGTTGTGCGAGGGAGCTTGTTATCATCACCATTTATACTATATTAGGTTGTCCCATAAATCTTTTCATATTTAAATTTCTGCTGTAATAAGTCATCAATGTTTTATTCTAAATAGACTCCAGGATACCATTCAATGGAGCAAAGCAAGCTCTGTAAGATGGCTTTATGCCTTTACACCAGCTTCGATTTACCTCAAGTCTGAAACCAAAATTCAACAGAAAATCGAAAATTCTTTATATCTTCGTTCAGAAAAGTCCTACAATCTCTCACTCGCTCACGCATACATTCCACATCAAACACTTATATGTGCTATTGCCGTATTTTTTCATTAGCTAGAAATCAAAAAACCGAAAATTATCATGCTTTTACCAAAGTAATGTTGCGCTATTTTTACACTAACAGCTGTATACTACAAGCCTTAGAAGTACAACCGTAAGCTTATAGCTCTCTATAAGCTTTGGTTTCGTAGTAATGTTAAGTTGAGCATGAAAATCTCGAGTGAGGAAAGCTAAATCTGATAATTCTTGCAAACTAGAGCTTCTGAAGAACTAGAAAATTGCGGTGTACTTCCAAGGGCTCGTAATATACAATTGTTATTGTAAAAACAGTACAGCATCACATCGGTAAAAACGTGGAAATTTTCGGTTTTTTGACTTCTAGCTAATAAAGAATACGGCAATAGCACATATGAGTGTTTGATGTGGAATGTATATGCGTGAGCGAGTGAGAGATCTGTAGGACTTCTCTAAACGAAGAAAAAAAATTTCAGTTTTCTGAGCATCCGAAACTTTTAGATTTCGGTTTCAAATTTGAGGTGTGAAGCTGGTGCAAAATCATGAAGGCCATCTTATAGAGCCTGCTTTGCTCTAGCTAATGGTGTCCTGGAGTCTAGTTGAAAGTAGACGTGTATGACTTATTACAGCCGAAATTCAAAAATGAAAGGACTTATGGGACAACCTAATCTTCTTATATACTAGCTGGCTTACCCGGCTCCGCCGTATCCGGACCAAACTTGGCACACATACACTTCGGGCCCCGGCGGGTGTCACAGTCCACTTTTCGTTATCGATCGATGTCGATTTTACCGATTTTTATCGATTTTTTTGCAGAGTTCACCTACAGGGCTAGGAGTTGCCACAGGGGTAATCGAGCATGGGGATTTTGAATACAACATTAGTTTTCAGGATCGTCCATTACTTTTATCGATTTTATCGATTTTTTTTGTAAAGTTTGACCTGCGGGGCTGGGAGTTTGCACAGGGGGGTAATCGAGCATGCTGTTTACGAACACAATATTAGTTTTCAGGATCGTCCATTACTTTTTCGATTTTATCGATTTTTTGAAAATTTGAGCTAGGGGGCTGGAATTTGGCACAGGAGTGTAATCGAGCATGCTGATCACCCCCTTGGAGGTGATCAGCATGCTCGATTACCCCCCTGTGCCAACTCCCAGCCCCCTAGCTCAAACTTTGCAAAAAAATCGATAAAATCGATAATAGTAATCGATAATCCCGAAAACCAATATTGTATTCGGAATCCCCATGCTCGATTACCCCCCTGTGCGAACTCCCAGCCCCGCAGCTCAAACTTTGCAAAAAAATCGATAAAATCGATAAAAGTAATCGATAATCCTGAAAACCAATATTGTATTCGGAATCCCCATGCTCGATTACCCCCCTATGCCAACTCCCAGCCCCGTAGGTGAACTCAGCAAAAAAATCGACAAAAATCGATAAAATCGATATCGATCGATGACGAAAAGTAGCCTATGACACCCGCCGGAGCCCGAAGTGTATGTGTGCCAAGTTTGGTCCGGATCGGTTCAGAAATGGAATTTTCTATTCGGAACATACGTACACACATACAGACAGACAGACAGACAGACATACAGACATACATACAAACAGACATTCAGCTTTATATATAAGATAAAGCTGAATGTGTGTTTGTCGGTATGTATGTCTGTACGTATGTGCGGAATAGAAATTTTTATTTCTGAACCAATTTGGACCAAACTTGGCAAACATACACTTCCGGGCGGGGAGTGTGTCATAGGCTACTTTTCGTCATCGATCGA